GCACAACTTTGCTCGTGCCCTGAGTGAGCACCAGCTGCTGCTGGTGGAGTTCTGTGAGTGCCAGGGTGGCAGGGGTGTGGGCAGGGCAGATGTGGGGTAGGGAATATTGTCAGGGGGGACCGGGCGTGGCTGAGTGTGGGCAGAACACATGTACATGGACACAGGTACGGCAGGGTACAGGACACAGGAGGGTGGGGTGGGCAAGGGCAAGGCTGTGGGTCAGAGGTGCAAGAGCACAGGCCATGTGACAGGGCATGGGATGGGGATGACACGCAGAGCGGGGACACGGGCAGAGCATGGGTGAAGGGTGTGTAGCATGGCGTGGGACACAAGACAGGGACACGTGTGGGTGTGGGACAGGGGCACAAGCTGGGGCCCAGTGGGCTCACACAGCCATTGGGCTGTCCCCACACCTGTCCCCATTATCAATGCTGTCCCCTACCCACAGACGCACCGTGGTGTGTGCACTGCCAGCAGCTGGCTCCTGCCTTTGCCCAGGCAGCCACTGAGCTGAGGAATGAGTCCAGTCCAGCCCGGCTGGGCAAGGTGGATGCCACGGCACAGACAGCCCTGGCCACCGAGTTTGGCATCACCTCCTACCCCACGCTCAAGCTCTTCCGTGATGGCAACCGCACCCACCCCCTGGAATACACTGGTAGGGCTGTGGCACCCCACAGTGTCCCTGGCACCTGTCGAGGGGGACACTGCCATGGGGCTGGGGTGTGTGGCAGGGGCTGATGGTCGAGGGTGGCACTGTCCTTGCGGGGGTCACAGGGTGGTGATGGTGAGAGGGGTGGCAGCGTCCTGGTGGTGATAACGGACAGGTGACAGTGATCACACTGTATGAGGTGATGATGGTGGGCAGTGCCACGGTGCTGGTGGCGGGTGGCTGAGGTTGGTGGCAGAGGGAGGGGTGGCAGCCTGGTGAGGGATGTCAGGTGCCATCTGTGTGCCAGGCCGCATGAACAGCCAGGGCATCGTGCGCTGGGTGCAGCGCCGGGCTGGCCCCAGCGCCACGCTGCTGCAGGACACCGACACCATCGCAGCCTTCATCGACTCCCAGGACTTGGTGGTCATCGGCTTCTTCAAGGTGGGCTGGGGCGGGCCGGGGCTGGACCATGGCCGTGGCTGTGGCTGTGGCACTCACGGGTGGCTGTGCAGGACCTGAGGGATGAGGCAGCCCAGGCGTTCTTCGAGGTGGCTGCCGAGATGGTGGACCTGCCGTTCGGCGTGGCAGAGGCAGCTGAGCTCTTCCAGGCGTATGGGCTGTCAGCTGACACCGTCTGCCTGTTCAAGAAGGTGAGGGGGTGGCAGGGCAGTGGTGGGGCCATCCTGTCCTCCCCTCAGCCCTCACAGGCCCCTGCCCTGGCAGTTCGATGAGAGACAGACAAACTTCCCTGTGGACCCAGCACGGGGGCTGGACACGGCCGAGCTCATCCGGCTGCTCCGCGTCCACAGCCTGCAGCTGGTGATGGAGTTCACCAACGAGGTACAGCCCTTCCCTAGCCCTGCCACTGTCCCCTGAGGGCCGTGGCTGCCCTACCCTCATTCTCCTCCTCCTCCCCAGACGTCCAACCAGATCTTCAGTGCCAAGATCCCCCATCACATGCTGCTCTTCCTCAACAAGTCCTCACCGGAGCAGCTGTCACTGCAGGACGGCTTCAGAGCAGCTGCCGGTGGCTTCCGGGGTGAGGTGAGGTGGCCCCATGGAAGGGACATGGAGAGTGGCTTTGGGACTCCCCAGCCTCAGTGTCCCCCGTTCCCTGGCCAGGTTCTCTTCGTGGTGGTGGATGTAACCGGCCATGGTGCCGACGTCCTGCCCTTCTTTGGCATGACCGCTGCTGATGCCCCCACCCTGCGCCTGGTCAAGATGGAGAACAACCGCAAGTACCAGATGGAGCAGGACGACTTCTCGAGTTCGGCCATTCGCACCTTCATCCAGGCGGTGCTGGACGGCAAGGTGAAGGTGAGGGGTGCAGCACGGTGCCAGCCAGCGCCGATGGATTCTGCCCTGTGGCGAGAGATGGGCTGTTGGCTCAGAAGCCTATGGATGATGTTGTGAGGTGAACAGCAGGGACCTGTTTGCTGACACTCCTGCTGCCAGGCTTGAGGATTTGGGGATTTGGTACGGGCAAGGGGAGCAGGAGATTGCTGCCATGGGGGCACACAGAGCTGGGATGGCAGCAGAGGGGAAGACGTGGTCCAAAAGGCAGCACAGGAACATACCCCTGCCCCAGCCTGCACTGCCCCACGGGCCTCTGGCGTGCTCAGCCCAGGCTGTGGCTGTCCCGACTGTCCCCACAGCCTCACCTGCTGAGTGCGGAGCCCCCTGAGGACTGGGACACGCGGCCCGTTAAAGTCCTGGTGGGGAAGACCTTCGAGCAAGTGGCTTTCGATGAGACCAAGAACGTCTTTGTCAAGTTCTGTAAGTGCCACCCGTGTCCCTCCCTGAGCTCTGCTGTGGGGCTCAGCCCCTTCACAGTAGCCCCAGCCCTGTCCCCGACCTCTTGTCAATGTGCCCACCCCGCAGACGCGCCGTGGTGCCCCCACTGCCAGGCCATGGCGGCCGCCTGGGAGGAGCTGGCCGAGCGCTACAAGGACCGTGAGGACATCGTCATCGCCGAGATGGACTCCACGGCCAACGAGCTGGAGAACATCACCATCCATGGCTACCCCACCCTGCACTACTTCCCTGCGGGGCCGGGCAGGAAGGTGGGTGTGGGCACTTGTGGGGTAACAGCACCAGGGGGATGGTGGCACCCTCAGTGCCTTCCACTCCTATGGTTCCAGATGGTTGAGTATAAAAGCACCCGAGACGTGGAGACCTTCTCCAAGTTCCTGGAAAACGGGGGGACACTGCCTGAGGAGCCTCCGGTGAGTGAGGTCAGGGGACAGCACCCCTGCCCAGGGCTGGGGGATGGATCCTGCAGGATGGGGATGGGGACAGGGTCAGGCAGGGAGTGTGTGTCTATCCATGCCTCACTGCTGCCTTCTCCAGGTGACCAAGACCCCTGGGAACAGCACGGGCAAGGAGGACCCGAGTGCAGAGCGGACGGATGAATCCCGGGATGAGTTGTGAGCCCTACTGTGTGTCCTACTCAGGCATGTGCCATAAACCACCTGGAAACAATGTGGCTCTGGTCTGTGTCTGTGTCTCCATGTGCTGGGAGCACTCGCGTGTCTCAGGGACACAGCAGTGTGTCTATCCCCCTGGGGCAGCTGTACCATAGCACTGATCCTGGCAACCCTGCAATGGCACCAGGTGGCCAAGGAGCTCTCCATGCTGGCCCTCGTGCTGCACTGCTGGGGTTCAGGTGATGGGAGCCCAGCTGGGGTCTCTCCTTCATGACATACCAGACCCAGGCAATCCCCAGGAGCTGCTGTCACAGCCAAGGCAGGCAACATGGGGTTCTACTGGCATGCAAGCCTGGCTACACCTCTGGCAACTCCAGCACTGTTCCCTCTCTGCTGAGACATTCCTTCAGGGGCAACGTGCCGGTCCTGTTGGGCCAGGCTGTGCTCAGCCATCCCTCCAGGGAGCCCAGAGCGGCCCCAGTTCCACCCTGTGCCACTCACCAATCCTGCCCCATCCTCTGTCCATCCCAGAGGCTGCTGAGGGCCTGGGCCTGCTCCACAGGGAAGGAAAAAAAGCAGCAGGCAGTGGGATGTGGGGTTTTATTTCATTTTATCCAAGTACCTTTGAAAAGATCATTGTACAAGTCAGCACATGAGAATGCAGAGGAAATGCCGGGGCTGCACGGCCACTGTACATATTTACAGGGACCCCCCGAAAAAAAGGAGGGGACGGAAATCTCAGTCATGCCAACAACCTCACCAGACACACCACCATCAGAACTTCAAAAAACGGAGTAAAACCCCTCGTGACACTGTTCCCGGGCTGAAAACATTTGCAGATTTTGCTGGACTTCACACAGTGTTTTAGGCAAGTCCAGACCCGTGTTTAAAGGCACTCGGTGACGTACAACAGGCGCAGTCCATCCCGGCGTGGGGCCAAGGGGTCCCAGCAGCTCCACACTGCTGGGCTGGGCATGGCTCTGAGCAGGGCCAGCGCCACCCTGGAGCCCCGGGCTCCGGGGCCACCCCCGGGTGGGTGGGCAAGGGCTCCCTAAAAGAGCTGGCACAGAGGTGTGGCTGTGCTGGAGCAGCAGGGCCTGGGCTGGGCGAGGACAGGATGGGGGGAGCACCGGCACAGCCCCAGCTTCCTTGCAGCCGAGTAAGCCCAGGAGGCTTCCCAGGGCTGCCTGCAGGCCCTGCATGAGCCACAAACTGGCATCAAGCACCCCTCTGGTGCAGTGCCCTCCTGCTGCCTCCCCTGAGACACAGAAGCTGACAAAAGATGCAGGACTCAAAAGAAAACGTATTTTGTCTTCAGCTTTAATGTCTGCTTCCCCATTATGGCTCTCCTAAAGAGAGCCCTGCCTAAAGCCAGAGATTGGCCCAGGGGTCTGGGCATGTCTGCACCAGGCACACAGGAGCCAGCGCTCTGCAGAACTGCAGCACCCTCCTGGGAAGCAATCCCTTCTCCATGGGGACACACAGGAGTGTGCAGGCTGTGGGATGCCAGTACCCAGCCTGCCACCCTGGCTCTGAGCTGCTCCTTGCTCTGTGAGAAGCCCCCTGTCCCAACACGCAGTGACCCTTCTATCTCCCGGGGATTTACTCGGTTGCAAGGAAGCTCAGGAGGAGAAAAAAAGACCCATCCTACCACGTCCAGCGGCTGAGCCTGCTGAGGAGGCCACAGATGACTCCTTCCAAATGGCTCAATGATCTTCACAGCCCCATTGGAGCGGGGTGGCCCCTTCCATGCTGGTGGGGTGAGGGCAGCTCTACCCCACGGTGCTCCAAAGCCATCCACGCCGGGAGAACGGGGCAGGGTGCCGGGAAAGCGCGGAGCAGCTGGAGTCTGATGGATGGCTGTACACTTTGGGTGAGTTCTGCAGTACCTGTATGTTTTACATTTACATAAGAGCACTGTGACATTGGAAATATTTTCCTTTTATTACAATATATCAAAAATATGCAGCTTTAGTAAACAAGGTCATATTACACTTTCTAATGCACTGTACAATGCTACATTACACTTATATTCGGTATGGAGAGGGAGCCCAGGCTCCCACTGGCAGGTTTGTGGGGTGAAAGGGCATCCACTGGCATCCTGGAGCTTGCCCAGATCCGTGCTGGAAAGCAGAGCTGCCGCCCTCTGCTCTGGGCTCGCCTGGTGCCCGTGGTGGCAGCACTGCCAGCATCCGCCCCAGGCCTTCTCCTCCGGTCCCAGAGTCCTTCACAGTCCTGTCCTCACTGCCCTGGAGCCTAATCAATCTTCTCCACCTTCCCAATGATCTTCTCTTCGAAGATGGGCAGGATGGTGTCATCCTCCCGCACCTCCTCGAAGACCACACCACAGTCGAACTCGTCGCTCACTTTCTTAAAGTAATACCTGAAAAAAACAGAAATGTGGAAGAGGGAGAGGGAAAAAAAGCAGGTGAATGGTCATAGGGCACCATAATCCCCAAATCTGGGTACAGCCCTTCCATGGCTCTGAGCTTGTGGAACACAAGAAGCTACTCCCTCAGACATGGAGGGAACTGAGGCCACACTCCTGCCCCTGCCCTCAACAGTGACCACAAAAAGTGGCCAGGATCCATATTAGCATGGTCAGGAGCTCAGCCCTGAATCCATTCACAGCTCTCCCAAAAGCAGTGGCTGAGGCACCTGTGTTAGTGAAGCATTTCTAGGCAGGTTTTCCTGTGGCAGCTCCTACTTGGAAGTGGGAACTTGGGAGAGCTCCATGCCCTATGTCTGACTGCTTAAGGACTCTGGCAGGACCCAACCTCCCTACCCTCACCAAAGGGAACTTTGAGAGGAGCAAAAACAGCTCTGAATTTAGTCCCCACAGCATCACTGAGCACTGACTGCACCTGCCCAGGAACTCGCAGGGCAGCTCAGCAGCTCCTGTTGGAGGTGCAAACCACGACGCAAGACATTTCTGCTACAAAACCCAACCTCCCTCTCCCCTGCTAACCTGCCTCTTCACCAGCCCAGGCGCCCTGGCCATGCTGCCACATCCCCAGCACAGCATGCTCCGAGGAAGCACAGCATGCTCCTGACCCACCTCCACCCACCCTCCCCTTTGCGGGGACAACGCCGCTGTGTCCTGGCAGTGGCATCTGCCAGGAGTCACCAACAGCAGCTGGCAGGTGGGGAGCAGCCCTTACCTGTAGTTCCCTTTCTTGGTCAGCAGCTCCTTGAACTGTCCCAGCGTCACCACGCGGCCCTTGACGAGGGTGCGGTAGGGGATGGGCTCCCCGCAGAAGTAATAGGCCACCACGATGTTCTCGCAGGGCTGCGCCGCGCCGCCGCCCGGCCTCTTCTGGGGCTTCAACCTGCTGTGCACACACACAGGGGACCTGCTCAGTGCCAGCCCAGGGGCTCAGAACCATCCTGCGGGGTACCTGGCAGGGCTCGGGGCTGCTGGGTGAGAGGGGCAGTCAGGGCCCCCCAGATGGGCTGGTGGGAATGCAGTGCAGTCCCTGAGCATCTCCTGCTCCCACCAGCAGCTCTCTGGGCACGCAGACACGCACTGAGATTGGTCAAGGAGCGCTTGGAAAGGCTGAACGAGGCCAGGACAAAGCTACAAGGAGGGTGCAGGTTCTAACTCAGTCCCCTTGTGCTGTCTCCAGGCTTTGAGAGGGTACAGCCCAGAGCACGCCAGGTCACCATCATCTCCATCACCATCTCACCATGCTCCTGGTGCCCACCAGCACACAGGGCTGGAGCGCCATCCCACAGGGCATGACCATGCAGACAGTGCCCAGACTGCTTGGGATTATTGTCACCATGGCCAGAACAGTCCAGCAGGACTTTCCAGTGGCCCAAATCTGCAGGCAGGATGTTCCTGAACCCCACAGGTTCCCTGGGCACCTCTCCCAGAGTACGTGGAGGTCTGAGGGGATGGAGCTCCCAGCATGGCATGTCCTGGAGACTCTGCTGCCTGCCCTGTCCATGCAGGGTGCCAAGGCAGCTACCATCCCCAAAATCTCAGTGACTTTACACCTCCTGTGTATTCCCAGCTCTCAAAATGTTAGCCTGGTCTTTGCTTCCAGCCCACACACCAGGTTCAGCTATGTGGTGCCATCACTAGACTGAAACTGTCAGCCCAGTCCTCATCCTTTTCAGAGTCAGACAAAAGCAACAATAATTCAGCTCAGGGTACTTTGCCCTTCTGCAGAGCCTTTCATCTGGGGTGCTGAAAACGCTGCACAAACATTGGAGCAGCCTACGCAAATTGGTACCTTGGCATGCGTGGTCTGAGCCAGCGGCAGCCTTCCCTTTCAAAGTCACATAAAACACATTTGGCAGCTTAAAAAAAAATATTTTAAAAGCACACTGGATAAAAAAAGATGATTTTGTATTTACATGACTGGAAAATTGCTGTAAAAACCATAGAATCTGCCAAGCACATGAGGTAATCGCAGTTTTGGAAATGACTCTGACCTTAACCTTTAAACAGTGGCTGGCGGGCAGAGCACCTTTTCATGGTGTGCCCACATAAACACTGGCCCTGCAAACCAACACCAGACACAGCCTTTCCACCTCTTCCTACAGGCATGAGAGGTCTAAAGTTCAGCTGAACAATCTTCTGGGTGCTTGCTCTGCCTGTGAGACCTTTGGAGAAGATGCAGCATTCTGAGGGGCAAGGGTCTGCTCCTGGTGCCAGCAGAGCTCTCAGAGCCTCTCCCATCCCTGTATCAAAATACAGGATGCCCTTTAGCTAGAAAAACATTAAGGAATTGAGTCATCCTTGGAAAAAAAAATATAAGCTATTTAAAGGAAAAATGGGTCATAAATTCAGGCAAATTCTGTGAATCCTGTGAGCCAGAAGTTAATTAAAGGGGTTTGGAAAACCTCAAAGACCCTAAGCTTCTCTTAATCCTGCTAGAGACAAGTCATGACTGCTGTGTGCCTGGGGACCTGGGGACATGATGACGAGCCTGGCGCAGGAGCAGAGCTGCTTCCTCAGGGCTGCTGCTCTCCTTTGCCTGGGGAGATGGAGAGGACAGGACACCCCTGAGCTCTGCTGTGGCAGAAGCAAGAGGGGGACTGTGCCAGTGGCTGGGAGTGTCCTTCCTCCTGCTGTGCACTTCACACTGAAAGGCCATTCCTGAATGTACTCAGCCTGACTCCAGTGAGATGTGCCCTGAATATGATCCCTGAAGCGATGCTCGAAAATGATCTTGACAGAGAAAGAGGGGAGACTGACCAGCCTTCAGCTCCCCAAGCCTTCCTTTTCCCCCTTTCTGAAAATGGGGGCTACGCTTTCCCTTTTCCAGTCAGTGGGAACTTGTCCAGACTTCTCAAATATGAGGGACAGTGGCTCAAACACTTCATCCACCAGTGCCCTCAGGCCCTGTGGATGGATTTCATCAGGTCCCATGGACTTCTGCACCTTCAGGTTCTTTAGATGGTCTCAAACCTCATCTTCTCCTACTGTGGGTGGCTCTTTTTTCTCCCAGTCCCTGCCTTTGTCTGTAACTCGGGTGCTCTGGCTGGAGCACTAAGTGCTGAAGGCCAAAGCAGAAAAAACATTGAGTACCTCAGCCTTGTGCATGCCCCAGGTAACCAGGTCTCCCATCTCCTCCCACAAAGGGCCCACACTTTCCTGTCTTCCTTTTATCACCAATGTACCAAGAGAAGATTTTCCTGTTGCTTTAATTCTATCAGCAGAACTCACACACACACCAAACTGCAGCCATAGACTTCTAGCAGGCTGAAGCAGAGCTGATGAATGTGAAATCACTGACAATGTAATTTTCCAAGAGCTCCCCTAAGGAGAATGAAACAACACAACTGTCTCCACTTTCGTCATTGCCAGGAGATCTCCTGAGACTTTGGCTTGCACATAAAGGCCATCAGACCGACTCTGAGCCCTGCCTCATTAAATCTGCCACCTGCACCCATCTCCTGGGTGTCAGTGTGACCCAGAAATACTGCCAGGTACCACACCCTGCTCCTTCTGAGGTCACCTCCCATTGCTGTGTTTGTCACAAGCACAAAATACCATCCAGCAGGGAAACAGCAGCACTCATCCCCCTCACGGCATCTGCACCCCAGTCCTGACCCACAATTGTGCATCCCACCAGTGCTGGGACAGGGAACCCACATCTGGTTTGCAGCACCAATCCAACCTTGCTGTGATGCAAAGGTGTTCAGCTTGCTCCAACTCAGCCCTGGGGCTGGAGAGCTCTGGAAAGCCCAAAATGCACCCAGCAGATGTTACCTCAGCGGGTGTCCCAGCTACTGGCTCTGCTCCTCTTCCAATCCTGGGCCCACACAATTAATTTCAAAGTGATCTCATGCTGAATGTTGCAAAAAATCCTTTCTCTGAGGAACGAGTATTAATTAATACAATCCAGCTGTGAAATGTGAGACTGAGCTACAGGAAATGGCTCAAAACCTGTCCATGGAAAAACCTGATGGTTACTGGGACACCAATGCTGGGCACTGGTGTGCTGCTGGATCTGCAGGTCATTAGCACTGGATGGTCAATCCTGAATTGCCTGCCAGCAGCAGCCAGGCTGCTATCTCAGAGATCAGAGTCATTCCAAATGCTGTGAAATAGGGAGAGAAATGCTTTTTCTGGAAGAATATTTACAATTTCCAGCACAGTCACTGCAGGTGCCTCATTGATTTACAGTGGGGCAGGGCTGGGCTGGGAGCAGGGCTGTTGGCAGTGGGCAGCTTTGGTGGGAAGGCCACTGCTGGGAGGGCTGTGCCAGAGGGGAGTGGCTGCAGAGCTGGGTAACTGTGCTGGCAAGGCCAGTCTGGCTGTAGAAAGCTGGCACAGTGTGCTCTCCACCCACAGCCAGCTCAACTGGAGCCTCAAGGACACCTCTGGGCTCACCTCCACCTCTCTGTGCTTCCCCAAGGCTATTGACAAACCTGGGACACTGGCTCCAATTTCCCAGAGCTCTTCAAAGCTCCTGACTGAAATAAATGGTGCTTTCATGGGAGCTCCTCTCTCAGTTTCAACTTTGTTCTCACTGAGCTGTGGGATTTATTTCAAGGTGGGCTCCTGGGCTAACCAGAGCAGGAGATTTCTAAAAACGGCCAGCTCAGGTGTGCTTCAGCTGTAGCAGCCAATCCTACCAAAATCCAGCACAGAGATTTCAACATCCAGAAATCTTTGGCTCCCTGGGGACCACTGCATCCATTTTTGCCTGCTACTGGACACAAGACACATCTACTTTTCATAAGCAGTTCCCTACTGGTGAATGTCACTCTGGTTTTCCAGGCATGGGGCAGGACTGGGGGATCATTGCATCACTGGGAGAAGAGCCAGACCTCGTGGAGAGGCAGTGGAATCAGAGCAGCCCAGCACTGGGACTGCTCAGCCCATCCTGCTGCTGGCATGCCTGGCATTTACCACACACCATGGGCTTCCTCTGTAAGCCACTCTTATAATACAGGCCAAATTAGTGCCAGAATATTAACTGCATAGCCCAGGCTGCTGTTTTCAAAGTGTGTACAGACATTTCTGGGGAAGGTGCATGAATTTAGTACAACTATAAGTGACTCTACTAATAAACCCTATCCAATTACACACGCCAAAGGTAGATCACATAAACTTGGCTTAACCTGGCTTGGGAAAGCCCTCTAATTACCTGGCCTTCAATCAATGCTCTGACATGAATACACAGAAATCTACTACATGGTCACTGCAAGCAAAAATAACTGGAGCCTGTCAATTAAGAGCTTATTTTTTAAATTACATTTGTGTTTCTACGAGTCAGACCGCAAAATGTCAAGTTTTCAGAGAACAGCTGGAGAGCTGTGAAAGGTTTTTAATGGACAAAGTGCTTTTAGCTGTTAACAGTAATTATCTAGCACTTCCAAAACGCTTTTCACCAGAGAGCTCCATGTGCCTTGCAAATGATGTCTCCTGAAAGATAACACAGAGCAGGAAAATGAGCTCTGCAACAGCCATTAAGCTGAGTCACAGAAAGATGCAGTGACTTGGATATGGTCAGGCAGAGTCAGAGCTGCTGCAGGAGGGCTCCAGAGCTCTCATCCAGAGGCCACCAGCAGCCTTTGCTGGAAGCTTGTGCGAGATGGAGATAAAGAGCAAAGACAGATTTGTCTTCTGCACTTAATTCTGCTGCATCCTGATGAATTCTGCTCCTGCACCAAGATCTGAAGTCATTGTGTGACTGTGAATGAGTGCAGAGCCAGCGAGCACCAGGGGACAGAGCTCTCCCAGCCATGCCCCTTCTAGATGTGCTCCCTCTGCCCAGCCCCTTCCCATCCTGCCAGGAGCATTTCCAGCCTCTCCATCACAAGCCCACGGCCTCAAGGTGTGTTTTGCCATTTGCACCACCATGTCAGAAGGACTGAGGAAGACTTCTGTGACCTTTCTGCATGCTGGAGACCAGAGCAGAGGACACGGACACCCCTCAGAGCAGTCTCTCCCAGCCCTCCCACACAGAGTCAGACCGTATCATCATCCTACCTTTGCTTAAGGGGGAGCTTTCCAGCCCTTTTTTCCTCCTCTTCCAACCTCCTGCGAGCTTCCTCCAATTGGGTGAGAGGGTTGGGGGCTGGGTTGGGTGGCATGGTAGGATCTTGAATGAAGGGGTGGGAAGGCTGGACGACGTTGCGGAGCTGGGCGCTGACCCACGGGTGCACTGTCACCGGTCGCTCGATGGACAGGGGCCGGACCATGTCGTGGGACAGCTGCTTCTTAGCACCTGAAGAGCTACACACAAACACAATGCTTTACATGGAGCACTGAGATGCTCTGCACAGGCACACAGTCATTCCCAGATGGACCTGCTGCTGGACACAGGCACCACTGGGAAGCTCCTCACAGCACGGCTTTCAAGGGAGAGGGGTGCAACACCAAAATCTAAAGAAGATTTTGAGCAAGTCCTGAGACACAGGACTCACATCCTGAGCAGCCCAACCCTGAAACAAGCCCCACAGATAAATGTGAGGGCTCCCATCAATCCCATACATAAAAATGAACTCAGGAAAAGGTAGCTCCATTTTTTGTGGCATTCTCCCACAGGATGCCCTCCCCTGCCTACCATGTGCCATGTTATCCACCTTGGAACCACAGCAGCAATTTCCAAGATTGCCCTGGGGCTGCAACCTCCTGCCATGGCCATGAGTTATCCTTCAGAAACAACAGCCCTCATACCCCCCGGTAATCCTCAGTCTCCTAAGGGTCTAAACACTTGTGTGGTAGATTCTTGCCTTCCCAAGATGTCTGGGAGAAAGGCAGCCTGCTGACACATCTCCCTTGTGCAGGGATGCAATACAAGAGTGTTGTTATCCCTTGTTCTGCCAGCCCTTACCCATGGTTTGTTTTCTTATGCCTGCTGATCTCCTTCTCTCCTTCTATGATCCACTGAAGGATCTTCTGGTTTTTCTCCACGTCTTCAGGAGAACCTGGCATCTCATAGTTGGCACCATCACTTTTCCCTGAATCGGTCTTCTTAACATTCCTTTTTGAGAGCAGACTTGCTTTCCCACTGCAAGAACAAAGCTTGGGACGTTAGTGCTTTGCTTATGCCGACCACCAGAGGGGCAGAGGATGGACACATCTATCTCCAGACATGGACACATCTATCTACAGATACGTTCCACGGCTCCCTGCTCTACCAAAGCTCAAACCACCTATGCCACAGTTCCGGCTAAGAGTAAGACTACCTAGACCTGGGCACAGCAACTTCTCTGCCAACAACCTGTGGGGAGTGGGAGGTTCTCCTCTGGTCAAATGATCTCCTGCCATGAGAAGGGTTGTGTTAAATCCCCATTTTTTTGCTCAGAGCAGGAGGTTATTCATTGTCTGTCTCTCCATGCCTGACCACTGCTTGAAACCTGGGTCCTTTCTATCACCCTCAGATTCACTGATACCCCAAACCCTGACCTGTCATGCCCAGAGTTTGCTTCTCACCCTCAACTGAACGAGGCTTCACCTCATGGTGGAAGATCACATCCTAGCAGGGTGGGCTGCCTCCCAGGGGGAAGCCCAGCCACCTCTACCACCACAGGCAGAGGGATGCCAGGTAGCAGCCAACACTCTGGCTACACCTGTGGCTGCAGCAAAGGCTCCTGCAGGAACACTGTGGCACACGTGGCCACGTGCCCAGCCAAGCAGCCCCATGCTCAGGAGGCCATGCAGGATTCTCCTGTGCTGGCCTGTCATTCCATGAGACTCCACTGTCCTAATCATCTACTTGTTTTACTGCACAGGACCTTGCTCCTGCATGGTCACTAACATACACAGGAAAAACAACCTGAACACCACACAGGAGCAGCAATCCCTTGGATAACTTTGCTGATTTTTTTTTGGAAAAAGCCTCGTGAGGAATTGCTGCAGATCTACAAAAGGCAGGGCAAGCTGACAACGTCTCTGCTTCTCCCAGCATGAGGACTACTGGGTATCAAATGCAACTCTGCAGCATCAGGTTCAGTGCAAACAAAATAATGCTGTTTTCTGCAGGTTGTCATTGACCCACAGACAGCGTCATGGGGGGCTGGGGGAACAGAACACCAGCTGGGTTCAACAAAGAGTGAGAGAAGCCACCACAAGAGACTGCTGGCTGCCAAACAAGACCATTTGGATGCAAATCCTTGTCTTGTGAAGTTTCTAATTCAGGGACTGCCAGGAACTGGGAGTCTGTGCCAGAGGAAGGACAGCTCTGAGTGTGTCCTTTAAAAATCTCATTAAATATATGCTGCAGCTGCTGCTAGAAGGAAATCTTGTGTCTAGATGGGGCTTTGGGTTGGCCCAGCATGGCCATGCTCATCTCTGTTGAAGCAACAGCCCTTTCCCCATACAAACCTGGTGGATTTAAGTGCCTCTCCCTCCTGAAGAGCAGTTTGCTTTGGCTGCCTCTGCACTCTGCCTCCCCCCTGCCACCCCAGAAGGTTGGCTTGCTGCAGACCAAGCCAACCTTCCCTCACTAACTGTCCCACCCCTGGTACACTGCAAAGAAACATCCCAAAGCCTCAGCCCAGGGGTGCCAGACACACCCAGGGTGAGCCCAGCTGTCCCCTCTGGCTGCTCCATCCCCATTCCTCACCATGGTCAGCCCCAAGCTGCACTCCCACCTTTGCAGTCACCCAGCAGCAGGACCAGCAAAACCTGCCACAGAAAAGGAGTTCCCCCCTCTGCCTGCAGCATGGAAGGGATGGAGGAATTCAAATGGCCAAGGAAAGATGGACAACAGCCTGCAATGCAGTTTTTCTGGGCAGAGGGTGCCCTACCCTGGAGAACATCCCCTTGGGACTGGCTGCAAGGCCAGCACTGCAGTGTCCATTGCTTTGTTAGGAAGAGAAAGGAGCCCTCCTGGTAAATGGGTTCAGCCTTGCAACAAATGAGGTGGGGTTTTTTGTCCTCTCATAAACACCTTAAGAGACCTGTTTCTATTACCCTGACCTTGAGACACAGCCCCAACACCCAACTCCTGGTGCATGGAGAAGCAGACCAGCACTTGCAATTTCTAAGCTTCTCCACTGCTTTAAGGAGCAGAAAAATCTATTTTAGAACCAAGGCAAATAAAAATCCTGGTTAGAGGGTCTCTCAGTACCAGATCAGAGATAAAAAATGACTCTATAAAGGTTATCAGGGCATATCCATTTCTGGTTATCAGGGCATATCCATTTTCTTCTGAAGGGGAAGAGCCCTCAAACAATGTCCCAGCATGAGCTCACACAGGAAAAGACTCAACTGCTGTTTCCCTGACATGCTACAGCCTGTTCATGGAAGAGCTTCCTACAGAAGTCATGGCTTTGGGAATCCTACTGGGTGCTCCTTGACTCACCTGTAGCCTAAAGAGTCCATGGGGACAGGGGCCATGCCCAAGTTTTCACTGTAGTTTCGTGACTTTGTTGCATAGTTATGTGAATCTACATTCCAAGCAAAGCTGTTCTGCACCCGCTGCGTGGCCTCAGCCTCGATCTGCTCTTTTGGTTTCATCATGTTGTGGTGATGGATGTGGTGGTAGACATGTTTATGGTGGTATAAGTTAGCTGCATCCAGTTTCATTCCTGATTTTGGTGCGTGCTTGCCATGCCCTGGAGGAATTGTTCCTAGTGTCCCTGACAGCTTTCCTAAGTGGCCACTTTCTGGGGACCGTGGCTTAGGAGAGTGACGACCAGGTCCTGGAGATTGGCAGCCTGGAGTTTTCATCACACGCTGCACGTGTTCATCCAGGATGCTTTCGGGGTTTTCTTCATGGGCATCTCTCACCTGCATCCCAGCACAGCCCATCTCAGCATAACGAGGAGCAAAGTGATGGAAGGCTTGGGCAGAAGGCATCTTGTGGCTCATGACTGAGGGACCAGAAGAGATATCTGCATCCTCACCTTCTTCTTCCTGCAAGAAACACAGGGACAATCAGAGAATGACACTGGAGTGGTAGAAGGGGTCCCTAGTCCCACCTTCTCCCGCAGCAGGACTGCTGCTAACCCTTAGACCATGCCTGGTTTAGTCCAGTCAGATCTTGAAAACCTTTAAGATGATGGAGATCCACCATCCCTCTGGAGACCTGTCCCAGACTGACAGGATGCTCAAGCCAAGCCTGTGCAGTCTGGGTGCCACTTAGCAGAGCAGCTCAGGTCTCTGTATCTGCTTCTTGAGCCACCATTAGCAATGTTCTCCACACACCACCCAAGCAGCTCTGCCAGGCAGCCCACACATCACAACCAGGCTTACAAACACAGCTGACAAGCCTAACAACTCAACTGGAGCAGGCACAGCCTTACTCCAAGTCCCCTGAAGGTGGTTCTGCAACCACCAGCAGCAGAAACATAACTTACCACAGTGTACCTTCAGCTTCCTACGTGCCTTTGGTAAGGCACTGCTTCAAAGCCCATCAGATAAAGCCCAGAGCCACAGGATATGCAGCAAATCAGCTCTGAGTCAGGTGAGACCAGGGGGGTTTTCTCACCCAAATGACTGTTTCACAAGGGAAAGCCAAGAGAAGGCTTGTAACAGGAGGGAGCAAGTGAAGGTCGACAGCTGCATGAATGGTTTTGGAAATCAAACATTGATTTCTCCCGGGCATGCTAAGGCTGGAGTGAAACACTTCGTGCAGATAAAGAAATGGGTTGGAACTAACTGCTTGTTCTTGCAGCTCACACTGGTCTAGGACATGCTGGTAGTGACTCTTAAGTCCTTGCCAGGAAGAATTAAACTCCTCCATGCTGACAGCCACAGTTTTGATGCTGACAGACTACTTTACGCTCCAACATAAACTCAGGTATTTATGAAGTTTCTTTATTGGAAGTCAGGATTCCTATTTGTTTTAATTACATAATCAGGATTCCAGTGAGTCCTTTAATCCTGCTCTTTTCCTCCCTTGGCACAGTAAAGAAATCAGTTGCAGCACAGGGTATCTCTGCCCTGCCAGATAAATGCATCCACTGGCAAACACCGACTCCCATCAGCTTTGCCTGTCAGATGCCATCATCCACCACTTGCTAACCAGCTTCAAAGTCTCAGCTGCCAACCACACAGCAGGAAAGCAAATAACAGACTTCCTCCCAGTGTCACACCTGGGGGCTCAGGCCTGAAGCAAGGACAATGCCAGGCTTTCAAAGTGCCAAAGGCGTGGGTGCTGTAAGCCTGGGGGTGTGACACGATGCTGGTGTCTGGAGGGGACACAGCACTTACAGATCACTCTGAGGAGCTTCAGAGGCACCTTTCATCTACAGCCACAGGCCACAGCTCGCCAGCCACCAGCCCTGGGCACTGAGCTCAGGGACAAGGCATGGTGAGGGATGTGCTGACTACATCCCTGCCACTGAGGAGAGCATTTATTAGCAGTTTGTGATACCCAGTGATACCCTCAGCACGTGGGAGGCTGCAGGAGCTGGTACCTCCAAGGTTTAAACACAACTGATGTGCAGGGCAGGACCTGACCCTGGCACAGATCCCTGAGGAATGGCAGCATGTCCTTTCTGCTCAGCCCAGAACTCTGGCAGTGCTGTCACACCTGAGCAGGGTGGCATGAGAGTGAGAGCCTAGGCTGGTCCACCCAAATGGGTGCCTGGGATTTGGGAAATCCTCTGGCTACCTAGAACTCCATTTTGCAGGTAATGTGGACTTTTGCTTCAAGACTGAGACCAGATGGGCTAAGGGGAGAAAAGGCTCTCAGTCCATGTCAGCTCAGCTCATCCGTGTCACTGAGCAGATCTGGACCCCAAGCAGGACCACAGGCAGGAGCAGTTGCTCCTGGAGTTGGTCTGTGGGGACCTGCCTTACCACCCCAGCACTGGCCTCAACCTCACATCAAGTAGGAACACCCCAATAGTGGCACAACAGCAGTCAATGAAGGAATTGGGGTGCTGATCCCAACCTGCTGTCTTTCCTCAAGCAGGGCAAGGGTTTGAGTCAAGGTTGTAGGAACCAATTCTGCTGAATCTTTTCACTGCTCAGGCTGCAGTGAAAAAAACAACATACATGGTGTGGGCTCTGGAGCTGTGTTTTGGGACCTTGCTGTGGTGAGCTGGGCAAAGCCTGGCAATGAGCTGGGCAAAGCTTGGTGGAGATCTGGGCAAGGCCTGGAAATGAGCCTGGTGGAGATCTGGGCATAGCTTGACAGTGAACTGTGTGAGACCTGGCAATGGGCAAAGCTTGGCAGTGACCCTGGCACAGCCTGGCAGTGACCCTGGCACACTCCGGCAGTGACCCTGGCACACCCTAGCAGTGGTGTTGGCACAGCCTGGCAGTGATGTTGGCACAGCCAGGCACTGACCCTGGCACAGTCTGGCAGTGATGTTGGCACACCCTGGCAGTGATGTTGGCACAGCCTGGCAGTGACCCTGGCACACCCTGGCAGTGATGTTGGCACAGCCTGGCAGTGATGTTGGCACAGCCTGGCAGTGATGCTGGCGCAGTCTAGCAGTGACCCTGGCACAGCCGGGCAGTGACCCTGGCACAGCCTGGCAGTGACCCTGGCACACCCTGGCAGTGACCTTGGCACAGCCGGGCAGTGACCCTGGCACACCCTGGCCGTGACCCTGGCGCAGTCTGGCAGTGACGTTGGCACAGCCGGGCAGTGACCCTGGCACAGCCTGGCAGTGACCCTGGCACACCCTGGCAGTGACCCTGGCACAGTCTGGCAGTGATGCTGGCACAGCCGGGCAGTGACCTTGGCACAGTCTGGCAGTGACCCTGGCACAGCCGGGCAGTGACCCTGGCACAGCCGGCTGTGACCCTGGCACAGCCGGGCAGCGATCCGGGCAGGCAGTGACACTCGGGCGGGCAGGGAGCCCCGCTGCCATCACCACTAGATGGTGCTTTGTTGACACGCTATTGTCACAGAGCTCCTCCAGCAGCTCCCACAGGCAGCCGCAGCCAGACATGCAGCTCCAACTTTGCAGAGTGCTGAGCTATTTTTACTCCCCGGCAGGGCTGGGGGTGCCCTTCCCTTTGAACGAGGAGCTGAGAGCTGCACTGATGAGCCACAGGCAGCGACACCTCGCTGGACGCCTCCTCCTCTGCCTCCCCCCGTCCCACCCATCAGGCTGCTGCTGGCTGGGAAGTGAAAACAGCTCTGCTAAGCACCAGAGCCTCTTCGATCAGCATGCAAATGATTTCTCTCTCTAGTCAGGCAATGTTTCATGTTCAAATACTGAGAATCTCACTGGAGGCTTTGCTTCCCCCTGGCTTATCTTCCATTTGTTCGGTTCTGAGTGATCTGTATGATCCAATACTGATCTCTGTGACAGCAGATTCCATTCACAGACACGAGGCTGAAGTGTCTCAAAAACTAATATGGGAACGTGCACATCCTCTAATCCTCTCCCACGTTTCTCAGAATAATTAGTGAATTCAGCTTTTGCTTTTTTGTAAAGCAGAAACCTGACAGTCTTTTCAGTAAAAGGCATTTGGCTTCAAATCAGATGCCTCCTCTCAATGTTACTGCATGATGAGGCTTTGAAAGGGAACCTGCAGGCTGCTCGTTAGAGGGGAGAAAAATTCTTTTCCCCTGGCTTTTGCAAAATATTTCCAGCTTCTCTGTTAGGCTGGTAACTGCTCAGTGTGACTAATACTGCTGGTTTTCTCTGTGCTGCTGTGCAGTGAGCCATACAGACCTGGGAAAAGGTTACCCTGCAGCCCTGGTGTTTAGGTCACAGAAAAAAGCCCTGTGATCTATCAGGATTCCAGTTCTCCCTCTTGCTGATACCAGCAGCTCCTGCACCTTGAGTGCTGACCTAAAAAAGCTACAATTGCTTACTCTGAGTTTTTCCTGAATGGCTAATGCCAGATGCCAGCCAGTCAATGAAATACATTCTGGAGACAGCAAAGAGGTTTAATATATAGCATTAGTGGGAGTCCTGGGTTTAAAAATAGATTAAGTCACACAAAAATGTGTTTAAACAGACTTAAATATATTCTCTGGCACACAGGTTTTTGCTGATTTTATGGTATTGCTACTGGCAGCTTCTTCAAGGAGACAGAGGGCTGGGATAATGCAATTTAGTACAGGGGGGGCTGCAACACAGCCATGGGAGGAGGGGGACGAGGAGGAAGTGTGTTCTAGGACTGTGTTAGCAGAAAATGCTGCTGATTACACTGTCTTTGTCTAGAAAGCAATAGTGACCAGACAGGAGAATGGTGCAATTCCAGAAGAACAGGAATCTAATCCCAAAATAGCACCTGGCTGGCCTTTTCTGCTGGATGCAGAGGTGTAGGGAGTTTGCTGGAAAACACCTGCAGATGGATGGGACCTTACAGATCCTTCTGCCTTCCTCTGTTCTCTGCATTTGAAATGCAGATGCAGTTTAAGGCTAACACTACAACCTACAGCTTTTTCCTGTTCAAAGAGCTTTTAGATGAGCATTTTAAAATACTCCAACGGGGCTGAAGGTTATTTCCTGGAGCCCCAGAAACTCAACCTCCCTGAAAGCACAGAGCCAGCTGAGCTAGCCACCAACACCTCTGCTTTAAGGGAGGGCTGCAGGTTACACAGCACGTTACACTGAACTAGTGATGCTCAGTAACACCATGGTGTCCTCTGGGATCTCTCCTCTATCCCCACCACAAGATGTGCAGGTGACCATGAGATGCAGTGTCTCAGAAGAAAAGCTATGATGTGAACACTGCTGAACAGGGGGTCTCACACAGGGAATCCCAGATGACCAGGACCTCGCTCTCTCCCTCCTGGAGCTTGTTGTGGAGCTAAAGGCCTTGCACATTTGCCATGGTTCATCTAACAAATCCTCAGGCTCTGGGGTCCCAGCAGTAGCAGGGCTCAGCACTCAGTGCCACTGGTTAGGTATCCCAGTGGAGTCAGTGTGTTTGTTCTGCCCAGGAAAGCTTTTCACTGCCACACCTGACCACTTCCAAAATTTCTAGGATGTGCGCTGCTGGGCACAACCCTTCTGGTTGTGGTAGAAATGGCCTGATAGCAGACACAAACATCCCCAAGCATTACATCATCTGTCATCTGGTTACTGTTCTCTGGGGGAAACAGAGATCACACACAACCTCCAATGGGAAGGTGAACCCCTCTTAAACAGTACCCAGAAATTGCTCACAAACTCAGGAGAGTCAGGGTACCAAAGAAGGTGATGGAGAGCATCCACAGCCCGAGTGATGGCAGAAGTGGGCACTGCTGTGCCATGGCTGGTATTTTACACAGGGAGAGAGCACTGGAGCTCACAGAGCCCTGCATGGATAGGGGAACAGCATTGTGGAAGGTGCAGGGGGTACAGGAGCCTCCAGGAGCCCTGTGCCACTGATGCCCACGGCAGTGGAGCAGGGAACTGGCCAGCCCAGCTGCTTGCACAGCAGCTGCAAGCTCCCTGTGGTACAGGGTAAGCAGAGTGCCAGGCTGGCAGAGGAGATAAGAAGATCACTGACCGCTCGAACGCGTTTAAGGCGCTCCTCCAACTTCTCCTCTGCTTCACGTTCCTTCTGTACTTCCTCCAAACGGTTGATCAGCTCTGCAGCAAACTTCTCTGGTTCCACGTGGATATCCTTTGGCATTCGGTAGGTACGCTGCAGGGAGAACACAGCAGGGCTCAGCAATGGATGAATGAGGAATCCCACGTTTCTCGGGGAGCCTTTGAGGACTGGAAATGCCGGTCGTTCCGCTGGGAGCTGGGGGAGGACAGGCTGGCAGGCACTCAGGTGCAACTCAGGACCTGGGGGCTTGGAAGCTGAGCCACCACCTCCACGAGTTCCTCAGCTGGCACCAGCTCCACACACCACCCCATCTAAGGGAAAGGTTTTCTGGAGCTGCAATTCAAAAAGCTCTTTTGGCACCAAATTCCACTCAGGGATAGAAGTGCTTGCTTTTCTGCCAGTGGATACATGGTCAACAGGAATATCCTGGTCCCAAAGGGTGGCAAAAGGATGTACAGACCTTTCAACCCCTCAAACCTCCTGTTTATAGCACTTACACTTTCAGTTTGGTAGAAGGGAGGACTCTAGTGCACACTTATGCAGCTTATTGCAGGAGGATCAGTGTGTGCTAGCCAATCTCTGCAAATCTAGCCCACAGCCAAGGTCCCAATTCCCACAAAGCATCCTCTCCTGTTGGAGGATCCTACAGGACTGCATCTCAGCTTTTCAGAGCTGTGCAATGATTCTGTGCTTGCTTTATCAATGCAGCACTCTTACAAGCACAGAGGTGCCATTTTTTGCCTGCTCTGGGTGGATAAATGAATGTTTATGGCAGTTCAAGGCCATTCTTGATTCCTTATGCTGAGTTACTTTGTTACCCTAAATTCCTGGGTTCTGGGATAAGAAGTTTGTGTAGTGAAGTATGAAGCTATCAGCTGCTGCATTCTCCCCCTCATTTTTATCCTTTCTGTATTTTTTTTTTAAGAGTAGAAAAAGTTAAATGACGTGGCAGAGATAAAAATTTAATTTGGAGGAAAAATAGTTGGAAATTCAACAGCATAAAACTCTGCATTCAAATATTTCAATACTAACACGGGAGAAATATACACTCTATAGGACCAGAGACAAAATTAAATGTGAAGATGTGAGATAATTCATAGCAGAAGAACAAATGCAGCATCAGAAGCAGACACTGAGCTTGAAAACTTTAAAGGAGGATGAGAGACCACCCGAATTTCTCCCAGGCCAGCCAGAAGATCAAAGCAGAACACTAAAATGCTGCTTTGCCTCAAAACCTGACAAAAGTATGCAAATCACATTGGCTTTTCTGTCTCTGCCAGCTGGAAGGCAGGGAAGAAAACCAGAGGCAGCAAGAACCCACTGATGACACCAAGGAGCTGAAGACTTTTTCAGGACACCCCAGTTGGGTTGCAGAGGTCCCAGTTAAAGCGCTGCTTGTTTTGTTTGCCAAGAGGGATGGGTCTTCCTGAGCCTGCCTGCAAATCTCAATCCCACTGACCCATCTGAGCTGGCAACAGTCCCAGCCATTCCCTCCATCCTTGCAGCCACTGGAGAGGGCACAACATGAGGGAGGTGATGTCACTACCCTGGGATGACATCTTTAGTGCCACCAGGACCTTCAGCTCTGCCAACCAAAGGCCTGTATCACAAAAAGCTAAACTGAAAAAGAAAAAAAAAAAGAAAAAAAAATCAACAAAAACGATGTTCAGTCTTAAGATACTGGCAGAGGGGCCAAAGTAGCATGTTTCACCTTTGTGTAGTGCAGAAACAGACTCCAGATGTGCTCCAGCACGGGGGAAGATGTGGCAGAGCTGGTTCCTGCTCTGTTACTCCCTGAGGAGCTTCTCAGGATGTCTCCCTGCTCTCCTGCACAGCCCTGGGAAGCACTTCTGGCTAAGGGATCCTGTTTCCTTCAGAAACCCCAATCCCGTGACCACCACCACCCACCCTTCCTCGTGAGGCCACGGCAGCAATTCCCAAGGAGGGAATTCTCTCCCTTGCCTGACAAGTCCCAGCCTGCCGGGTGACGTGTTCTCTCCCTCCTGCCACCTCAGATGCCAACTCTCCCTGTGGTTGTTTATGGATGGCACCACCAGGCCCTGCTCCGTTAGACACTTAACAAGCCTAGTAAGAGGCAGCTCAGAGCTCAGCACCTACAGTCTTGGATCTCCCTGGTGCAGCTGCCACAGACAAGCACAACTGGGAAAGAATTACCCTTTGTTTCCCTAGCCTTTGATGCAGGGCAGCACACCAAACCAAAGTCTCTCCTGAACCTGTGGTAGCAGTGGGTGCAAGGGCTGAAGTTTGCTAACCTGAGTGTCCTAGTCCTGTCACCACGAGGTGGTTCCCTGCAGGCCCAACAATGCTGTATCCAGGGAACTCAAAATAAGGTGATTCTGGGTCTTTTACAACTAGTACCTCAGCATGTTTATCCACAGTCTCTCAAAGTCTGGAGGTGACTGAAGCTCAGCTACAGAAACTACAATAATTGAACCCAGGAATCTTTAGGATGAGCTTGTTTTCTTCCCTCTCTGAAAAACTGTTGCATCTGCAAAACCCAATTGGTTCTTGGAGCTTCCCACTCAGCACAACAGCTTGCAGAGGGCCTCAGCAGCCTGTTTGAGGGTGCAAGATGCAGCCCTCTCTGCAAGGGTCTCCCAGAGCATCCGAGATCAGTGCAACTGAAATAAACCTCACTTCACCCTATGGATACCAGCTGCACACACCCTGTGCTGTCCTGGTGGGTACCTGTAAGGGTAACTCAAGAGAGCTGGTGAGCAGGATGATGCTCTGAACATCACCATGGGTCTGACTTTATTCCTAGCTCAAAGGATGAGCTACACAGACTTCCCCAAAATTAACAGTATTGCAGAATAATGAACGCAAATTCCTTGTGCTGAAACAATACAGATAACTGCTGAGGGCTCTCTCTGCCTCCATAGACAGCAAACATGGATTGCACTGACCTGGTTCAAAAGACTTAAGACAACAAAGTGTTTGAAGCCTTTATCAAATGATGGGCCTGACTTCAGAACGGAGACAGGGGAAATATGCTCCATCAAAGACCAGCCAGTCTGAGCCTGTACCCAGAGCAGGATCCTTCAGGGCTTCAGGATTTTGAACCTGCCCCCAGCTTCCCATGGGCATACAGAGTCCTGCCAAGGGACTTGTAAATAAGCTGCTTATTGTTCTGAAATCAGAAGGGCTAAAAATGCCTTTGTTCCAAGTAAAGGGTCTGTCCCAAGAGCTGGTTGGTTTTTGGGGATCCAGCCCTTCAGTCTGGACCAGAATGAGGTCTCTGGAAATTCTACATCAACAATTCAGAAAGGAAGTGCTTCATTTTAAAGTAGTGTTTAGTCTAATGTTTTATTTAATTACCCATCTACTTTTATTTAACGGCACCAGTTAGATAGGTCTGTCCAGAACCAAACCACGTGGAGTTGGGGAAGCTGCAGAGGACAACAGATAGGAGGCTGAATGCCAGGTGGATTGGGAAAAGTAGAAATTGCTTGACCTGGTCTAGATGAAGCAATCTTTCCTTGTGACAGCTCTGAAGAAGGACTTCTTGGGGTACCTATCACTAGAACATTGTCCTTGACACATGAAGTGTCCTGAAGCTCTGGTACCTTTGTGAAGAAGCAGCCTGCTAAGAACATGTGAGATACACAAGCTCTCCAATAGCTCCACTAGGCAACTGCCCTCATGTTTTCCCTTCTTTCTTGGAGCTGATGGAGTGGGAATTCCATGGATTTCGCTCCATGAGGCAGATGCAGCTCTTGGGTTTTGATGGATTTCACCTTGCTTGAGAAGCAGAGGTTTAAGGACCAAGCTGCACATCAGAACACACCAGCATCGAAATGTGAAAAGGCTGAAAGGGAAGAATCTCACTGCAGTTTGCAGGTTCCCCTTGGGAAGCATCAGCCTCAACTGCTCTAAGATGAAACAGGAAGCTTTTCAACATTACACTGGGTAGAGGTTTGCTAAGCAGCTCCAGGGATCTGTGGTTTGGGCTGAACTGTTTCTGACAGATGTGACTGGGCCAAAGAATTCTGTGCTGGTAAATCTCCCTCTTCTACAAGAGGTTTGATGCCTCCATGATGCCTGAGGGGCTGTTGTTAGATCACAAGTCAGTCTTGGAAATGAAAGGAAGATGACAGGCTAGAGAAGCCAAGAGAAAAGAACTTCTGAACCTCTATGTTTCTTAGATTAATGCATTCCTCTGTGACATAAATTTTTAACGGATAAATGGTGTTTCCATACCAGAAACACTTGTGCAGTGCTCACAGATAGCTGGATTTCAGCATCCAGTTTAGCAGTATTCAGGGATTAGCAAGGAGTCCTGCTGTTTGAGGAAAATGGCATAAAACAGCCGATGGGAATTCCGAGCAGGTTCCCAACTCACAGGAGCAGAAAGCTCATTTAGCTGCAGTTATCCAGGCAGCACGAGACCAGGCTCCTCCTGTGCACTCCTCACTTGTACAGCACAGCCCAGTAGTCACTCACAACTTTCTGCTCCACTCAGGAACACCGCAGAAGCCACCCTGCAGCACCCTTGATTGTGCGACAGGACAGGAGAGCTCCCACCCCATGACCAAGCTACGGCAAGAACACCACGAAATGGATTCTTTATGAGTTAACAAACCTCCCAAACACCAGCTCTTAATGCTTGAGGTTGGATTTTTCTGAATTTGCTGTGGAGAAGGAGGATCTCCCATCCTCTCCTGAGAACAGATGAATGCCAGAGCCAGGTACAGCTCTGCATGCTCTGGGCTTTCTCCCTTTCTTTTGGAATTTGCTTGCTCTTTCCTTCCTTGGTGCTCCAAGACTCTGCTCAAATCCAAGAGAGAAATGGAAAACCACATGAAAGCAACACTCACTCTCTGTGTAATGTGTTCCTGCCAGAGGCACAAACCAGAGGTCTCCCTGCTTGCTGGAGAGCCTCCCCCACTGCATTCCTGGGCAGAGCGCCACTTCACAGAACACAACTTTTCCAAACTTAGAGCATTGGTGACTGGCTAAGTGTGGAAGATGTGAGCTGCTAAGTGTGGAAGACGCAGATCAGGGCCATCCATACACGTCCTGCTGCTGAAGAGGGTGTTCCACATAGCTAGCACACGCTGTCACTACTTGGAGGCAGCACGGCTGCTGGGACCAGCGGGCAGCCTCCTCTGAACATATAATCACTGCAGTTTATAGCTTCTGGACTTAACTACAAGTGCTGCTATTAAAAGCAATATAAGTCCTTTCAGAATTTTGCATAATAGCCCCATAACTCATTTGTCAGGGAACGGGAAGGTCTGTAAAGGACTTCTGAAATGACTTTCGGAAGTAGGAGGTTCCCTATTATCAGTAGGAAAACATGCTGTGCATTCTGCAGGCACTATCAGCATGGACTCTGGCTATGCTGCAGATAGGAGTCCATAAAGACCTTCACTCAGAGGTTGTGATTTCGTCACTGACACACGTTTGGAAGCAGCTAACCCCAGGTCCAGCCTGATTCAGCCATGGGCTGTGGGATAGCCCAACCACTGGCTTCAGAAAGCAACACTTGAAGGAACATTTGCATGGCTCCTTGCTAATTTGTGCTGTTTAATTCAAAGAGTGCGCAGTTAGAGCTGAATTTTAAAGAGTAACTTTATAACATTTCACACTGGTGTTGTCAAAACACATTGTCTAATTACCTTCTCCTTTCTTGGCTGATTGATAAGAGAGGGCAGAACAGTGCCTCTCTGAAGTCGATGCCAGTTCTGTGTCAGTAATTGGCTGGCAGGAGGTGCCAGAGTGTCTGAACTAAACTTTTCTTCCCTGAAGAAAGACTAGAACTAACCCAGCTTCTCAGTCCCCGGCTCCCATATAAATATGTGTCAAGATGCCTTTTCCCCTGGGACTTAAAATTACAGTGCAGAACCTAATGGGAACAGTGGATGTTTCACAAAAAAATCCTTGTGAAGTGTCTGCATGTAGTTTAGGAGGAATATGTATTTCTAAAAGACTGTGTAGGTAAATAGGATAATATAAAAATTTATAAGCAGCAGGTGGGCAATTGAAACCTTGTTTTTTACCCTGTTTTTAAAGTTTCCAAAAGGGTCAATAAAATTTAATGCTAAGTAAAACTAATTAGCCTGCAAGGAACTGCTGCTGGAATGACACTTATTCAGTTCAACAAAAGAAATGTTTGGCAGATGGAAGTTCGTTAAAGTAGAGCTCACTATACATATTTAATGCTTCATACTCTGAGTTTATAACCTGCAGTTCATCGAGGCATTGCCAGTGCACACCATCGACAGAAAGCCACTATTATTTTTATCCAAAAGGTAAAGCCACTGACAAGCTTTGAAGTCGGAGAATATTCAGTCAGTAGTTCCCACTGTTGGGGAACAGCAACAACAATAACAACAAAAAATAAAGGCCAAGCTTTCAAACTTCAACTCTAACAAAGCCATGCTTACAGTAAAAACGGCATCAAGTGAAATAAAAAGGCACCCAGCCAGCCTTTTCAACAGCAACCACACTGTGAAAGCAACTGTGTGAAAAGAGAGGTGACTGAGCTAGGATGGCTATGAGCGTCTGCAGCCAGGGCTTTTATTGTCAACCCAGTGATCAAAGCACAGGAGACCCTCTTAAATCTAAGGAAAATAATCTAATTTAAAAGGCAAAACAAAGAGTGGTGGTTTTGGTGAGGATTTTTTTTCTTTTAAATCAGATTAAAACAAGGGTGTATTTCTGCTGGTATTGTGCTGCTTTGAGCAGGCAGGATGGGAACAGCTGCGTCAAGTTTGAAGACGCTTCTGGAAAAAACAGATGGAGGCTTTTTCTCTCCCTATTTGATATGTGCTGGAGTCCAGCTGTCCAAAGAGGAAAGAAGCACCTTTATTCCCTACTAGATCTTAAATGTCACCTGTAACTTCTCAGAAAAAGAAAACAATAATAAGGAGAGGTGCAGATGGTGATGCAGACCCCTAGCAGTTGCGCTCATCTTCCAAAGGCTGTTTGCTTACCTGGAGCAAGCAAAGAGACAGTGTCAGATAAATGACACACTTACTCCTGCAGCTTTTATTTCCTCCTGCCATGTGTCCCCAAGTGAGCTTTGCTGAGTCCTTGGGAACAGGTTACAGCTCCTTTGGTTGCTCAGTGCAGAAATGTTGCTGGGGACCATTGCACTTCTCCCCAGCTGACCTTGTCTGAGAGCTGCATCAGCCTCCATGTCCAACAGCCTCCTACACCTTCCACAAACACCTCCAGCTCACTTGAGGGCAAGGAACTGCTAACAGATAAATGGCAGCCAGTGCTTCCATTCTCATCCAGGAGAAATAATCAGCTACTGACTGAATGGTTAAGAAAAATCCTGTGTTTTGGGCAGCCTGGAATGGTGAGTTTGGCAGAAGGCTCCAAACCTTTTGTTAGCACAATGTATGTAATCTTGAAGCACCCTCAAGTGAATACAGCACTAAGGAGGATTAAACTCAAGCACAAGCAGAGCAACTGTCTGCTAGAGATCTCACATATTTTGCATATTTACCCCTGGGAAGGAGATAGTGCTACTTACAGGAATGTGAGGTAGTGGCACGCGTCCATTTGCTTTGGCACTTTCTTGCATCTCTCTGCGATGCTGCTTTCGGAGTCTGTACGGTGGGATCCCATCCCTGCAGGAATAAAACAACAACACACCCTGCTTTAGTGCCTTTCTCTGACACGTTATGTTCATTCAAGCCTTGCTGACACAGAGTGTCCGTAGGAAACCCCTTCATGTTTGCATGCCCAGAGTATCCATGCAGGGAATGGTCCCTGAACCAAAAAAGCTCTGGCATGGGGGCCAGGAGGACTTACACAGCATCCACCAGGAGCAGAGTGAGGCAGGGCTCCTGTGACTGCTGCTCAAGGCAGAGGGCAGGGAGAAGGACTTGGACTGCATCCTGGTACCTTTTATAGTTGGTTGCTTTCTATAAAGAGTCTGTAATGTACACATTAAACCACAGGGCAGGCTAAGAGAGGGGGGAGAAGGAGGAGTGGGAGCTCCGTGAGCATCTACTCCAAAGGGAGCTCAGCCAGGGAACAAGGTATATATTTTTAAGAGAGTGTGACAGCTGCTCAAATGGCTTATCAAAGGAGGTATAGGCTCCACTGCTCCCAAGGCAATCTCTAGCTCAGTCAGAAATCATGGGCTTGATACTGGAGTTGCTGGAGGGAAGAATCAGCCCCTCCCCAGAGGAGGATGGATGAGGTTAGGAAGGGATGTCATGGGCAGTCACATCCAAATGAACCAGCTCTGCTTGGCTTTGTGCCTGTGCTGAAAGAGGTGGTGACAGAGGTCTCTGTAGAGGAAGGAGACAGTGGTGGCCACAATCCTTGGTACACAGGGGTCAGTGGGTCAGAGGCACCTGGCTTTGCTAAGCACCCCAAAAGGCAAAGCATCACTGCCTAAGTGTGACTTCAGGCAAAGAAAGGAAGTGCATTTTTGTTCTCACCATTGCCACCACCCTGCTCACACACAAGGACCAGGAGAAGATGAGTGAGTGGAGCCCAGTTATGAAAGGACACAGACCCACCTCCTGTGACCTTGTGTTATCTGGTGAAAATCAACAAATTCAAAAACAAATGCCATTCTGGAGCTTGACAATTTGGAGCTTTTTCATTTTACACATTTTCCTAACTCAGCAGAGGTAACTGCTTGGGAGGGCCATGCAATGCCACAGAGGTGGATAAAAACAAATGGAGGGATTTGGTTTGTCCCAGCTACCACGTAATTCCCACTCACATCTTCTACCAACTCTGCACCCCTTTGAGCTGTGAAAACGAGCCAGTCCTGCCACATCTCACCACACAAGATGTTTGCACAGGCCAAATGTCCTTAACACCTATCCCCCTCCCCAGCTGCTTCCCCAGAACATAAACCAAACAGTTTCACCCACAGGGCCTGCAAACCCCTGAGTTTCAAGCATCAGCCTGTGTGAGGATGACCACCACCAGCTTTCATTCCCATTCCCATCATGCTGGCTGCCCTGCTGGCTCCCTGGAAATGCAGGTGCAGGCAGAATCGCCACCAATCTACATCAGAAGAACCTAATTTCATGCAATAACACAGGCATTCAAAATGAAACACCATTAAAATAAAATAAAACAAACCCTATGATTAATGACAAGTGCTTTTTAGCAGGAAGACAAATGAGGGAACAGAGAATGAGCCAAGCTAATTACAGCTCTGGTGAGTGGCTGCAGGTAACGCAGGAGGAGGAGGAAGAGTGTGTTGGGAGCATCATCTCTGCTGTGCTACAGTGACAGGGATTGGGAACAGGACAACTTCCCCACGCTGCTGTACAGGCATCATGACAGTGTTCATTAGGTGGCTTAATTTTCCTTAATGATGAGAATCACAACGGTTAAAGAGTTTCACAGCATTGTGACGCGGCCTTTTCTAGACTGGATGGTAACAAAACAACTGCAAGTTTTCAGAGGGAAAAATAAAAAACCTGGGGGATTATTTTAGCCATTGCTTGTCGGCATCAATAGTCAACATTTCAGCTTAACCAGCGCACAAAACCCGGGTGCCAGAACACAACTCGCACACTAAAGCCACACGGCCATTCGCAGGGAACTCGGCATTATGTTAGAAAGTGCAATTTTTCTTTCTTTCTTTCTCTCTCTCTTTTTTTTTTAATTCTCCCCAGCAGCAGTCCCAGCGGAAAGAGCGACTTTTGTTCCCAGCACAGTAGCGAAAGGCTGATAATGGCCTCTAATCTATCCGGCTTCAAACACATGTTCAGCCCCGCTGTGCTGCCTTTGATGTCATTTTAACTAGATTCCCCAATGCCACCTCTGAACTTGGAACATTCCTTCGTTCAATGTACTGTGCCAACTCAACCAGAGGAAGCAAATTCAAAGATAAGCACTTTAATTTTATCCCAACAAAACCTTATTCAATAGATTGGGGGAAAGCAAGAAAAACCAATACCATACTTTTGTTTTCCTTTTGTCAGGTAGCTTGCTTTGAGATATTTTCAATAGATAGAGAAATAATACATATATATATATATATATATATATGAAAAAAATTTAAACTTTTTTTTAACAGCACATCTACTTTTAAAATAAAACTTTCCCAAACTGTTTTCCCTTGTTTCATCATGTGATTTTCTTTAGCACCAGAAAGCTCAGTGCTAAAATGCAACGAGGGAAGAAGAGTATTTCTATTGCTTATTTAATGATAATGCAATGAGTTTACTGTTGGGGAAATGTGGAGGCTTCCTCCCCTCTCCAAACTAACCTGCAAGAGCCTCTGGTGAGCAGCGGTTTGGCTGTGGCTCTGCACAGTTGGACGCTTCTGACAAGAGGTATCTTTGCCCCTCTAGACAGGCTTCAAACCCAATCATTATGCCTAACACATTAGAAATCATCGTTTGGGACCTTTTAAATTAAAAAGCTGCTGAACTTGTTTAAATGTAGGAAAACTTGGGGCAATTCTGGATCACTAGCCTTAGGAAAGACAGGAAACAAATACACAGCCAAACTGGTATTTTCTACCAATTACTCTTATCAAAGCACTTTGGTCACAAGAGAGTTTTCTCACATAAAGAAGCATGATAGGAAAATCCCCAGGCATTTTGGTTAAAGGCCAGTCATCCAAGGAATAGCATTTAATCTGCAAGACTTTTTGAAGGAATAACCACTGTCCTAAACCCCTTTGTCTCAGGGATTGGCCATCCCTACTCTGGAGCAGGTTTGACAGGAATTGGGGAAGAAGGAGCATCCCTCTGGCCAAGCCCACAGACACCAAGGGCTTCCCAAGTGCCTGGGGGAAGGCAAAGCTGTCTCCCAACTAAGATAAGCCAGGACACCTGATAAAACCAAGAGGAAGGAGTATTGTTCAGCTGGAGCACAACACTGGGCTGAAGAGGAGACATTATCTCCTGTTTACCATGTAAGCTCTTGAAGAAATCAAGATAGATATGGACCTAATGTGTTTTTGCATCTGAATTGGAACATCACATGGAGATGGAATGGTTTGTTCTGCTGCCTTCCTACCTACAGTTGCCTTAACTTGCCTCAAGCATCTCTGTTGTGACAACCTCTCCCACCCACAGACTCACCTCCTCCACTTGAGAAGATGCTATCCTCAAGAAGGGTTATCTGAGACAAGAGCAGTTTAAGACTGTGCTGGAAATGCTGCTGCAAGTCTGGAGCAGGCTCTGAGCAGCCCATGGGGCAGGCAGAGCCCCAAATCCCTGCCTTACCACTGACCCTGCACGGAACATCAGCGGTGAGTGACTCGACCCCACCTGCGGCCGCGGCACTGCCGGGCGAGCGCTCGCCAGAGCCTCTCACCGTGTCCTCCCCAGACCTTGCCTCCACACAAACCAGCTAAAACAACACAGCTGCCCTACTGATTATAAAAACAGGTTTCAGCAGAGAGGACCAGAGCTGTTTTGCCTACAAGGGCAGAGGAATTCCTATGACACAGGAAGACTGAAAAATAATCAGCGGAGCGCAGGCATTTAAGAGCAATGTTTTTCAAGACACTCAAAAGCAAATTACTCAAACAACAGGGACTGATAACATACTTGTTATATAAATTCAACCCATTACAATAATATTTAACAGTGCTTGGAAAGACATCCTGTTGAAAGCTGGCTTTTTAGGTAAGTGTGCTTGTAACATCACAGTTTTACAATCTGTTTGGTGAGCTGGCTGCTTCCAAATAATCGCCCCAGCTCAGGAGCTGAGACAGGCACAGCATCGCTCAGGTCTTTGCTAGAGGCTTTGCATGCAGCCACTTCCAAACCCCATGTTGCTGGCATCAATCCAACATCAAAGCTTGGAAGGAAAGTGGTGTAGCAAATGCTCTGTGCCTGCTTTCTCCACTGGCCAGAGCTGGCCAGCACTGAAGATCATGCTTTGCTCTCCTGGTTTATTAGCATTCCTCAGTTAGCCAATGTTTGCATCCCAATCGTCCAGACAGACTTTGCTCTGATGGAGGTTTGTGCCTTGGATCACACCTCGTTCATGTGCTGCCTTGGAGCAGAAGCCAGATTTCTTCATTATTGAGTGTGACTGCTGTGTGTAAACAGCACACAGAGGGAAGAACCTCGCTCATCAGCAAATGAGGCTTTTATTACCATTTTCCTCAGAGAAGGCCTAAATTCAAAGCACTGAGACATGTAAGTCTTGTCAAGCAGCAGGAGACCCTTCTTTAACTTCATCTGGTTGTTCTTCATTTTTGCTGCCTTGAGCAATTCTGCAAAAATTCCTTTGAAACTCAGGAGGCAGATAGGTTCAGCAGTGCCATGTAAAATCCGAGTAAAATCTGGTGCTGGAGTTTTAAATCATGTAATGAAGAGCAAGTGCTGAAAACAGCCAGAATCTGTAAGCCAGAGGTCAAGGCTCTACATCCAGAATCCCAATTTTGGATTCTGCATGGATCCAGTTTGAGAGGCACAGAAAGAATGGTTCACTCTTAAGAAGTTCAAAACTTACTTAAAATGAACCACTAGTATTGGGTTAGTTATTAGCAGAAGGCAGTGCACATACTGGTGGTAACTAAAGTCCTAGAAGCAGCCTATGGTGGGCACAGGAGGGATAAAATGCCTAAAGGAAAAAGAAGCATAAGATGGCCAGCAAGAAATTATTCTGCCTGTGAAAAAAACAAACTGTGGCTAGTGAAATAAAAACCAGGAGGGTGAAGAACTCTGGCATAAACTTTCACAACTTATCACAGGTATAACCATCAGTGCAGCCCAATGAGCCCGCTGGACCAGTGGGAGAGGAAGTGCTAAAAGCTAATTAATTTTGAAGAGTTCTTACATCTGTCTCTCCTGATAACAAGAAGTTACATGACTCCTGTTAGCTTCAGAGCACTCCTTCATATAAATTGATGCATATGAAGAATTGCAGAAGGATGTGGCAGAGCAGCTGGATTTGTATCAAATGGAGCCTTTAATTAGTGGTCCTCTACAGGGTTCTGTCCTGGGGGCATCCTCATCCTCCCAGGCCCCTTTGACCAAGGTCTGCCTCGTGCATAATCTTTGAGGAGCTGGTGTCAGGGTGCAGAACGAACTCGCAGCTGCTCCTACATGGCCCCAAGCCTCCGTGGAGCCAGAGATGAGCAAGCTACTGGCTCAGGCAGGGCGACCACCACAGACACAGAAACGCCCTGGCCACGTTGTACACTCCCTGTGTCACTGTATGAACTCTGGGCAGGTGGGGAACTGGGGCAGCACCCATTAACAGCATCCATGGCACAGGCTGGAAAGTTTCTCCAACAAGGTCTGACAGCTGCTGACACTCACAGTGACACTAAATGAGCCTCTTGGAGGACTCTGTGTTTACAGCACTGCCATTAATAAAATCTTCTCCTAATTCTGTAAACCTGTCACCTCTCGCCTGAAGAATCAAAGGGTTTCTACTCTACAGAAAGACACTTTGCATTCGCACTACTAAAAACCACACCAAACAGTGAATATTTTCCCCCGAATCCTTTTTTTTTGTATCACAGAGATGCAGTCACAACAAAATCTCATAACCCCTTTTTTCTTTCTTTGCAGACCATCTTTAAGGAAAGCATCTCATGGGTGAGATACAGGGTGCTGTCAAGAGAGACAGAAAGGGAAAACATATTTGGCTGGGGCTTATCAGCACAAGTTGTGTTAAAGTGCAGTGGTCACTGACAAACTAGAACTGGTCAGTCACCAATCCTACTGCAGAGCAATGACAGACTGAGCTGTTACTCCATCTGCTGTGCTGTGTCCAGTTCTGAGCTCCTCAGGACAAGAGAGACATGGAACTCCTGGAGTGAGTCCGAGTCCAGAGGAGGGCAACAAAGGGACTGGAGCATCTCTTATGAGGACAAGCTGAGGGAACTGGGCCTGTTTGGCCTCAAGAAGAGATGGCTGAGAAGGGAGCTCATCAATGGCCATATCTGCTGGGAGGTTTCAGAGGATGGACCAGGCTCTGCGCTGTGCTGCCCAGCAACATGACAAGAGGCAATGGGCAAAAACCGATGAAGTTCCACCTGAACATGTGGAAAAACTTCTTCCCTCTGCAGTGACTGGAACAGATTGTCCAGAGAGCCTGTAGAGTCTCCCTCAATGGAGATATTTCAGAACCATCTGGACACAATTGTGTGAAATCTGCTCTAGGATGACCCTGCTTGAGCAGGGAGGTTGGACCAGACAACCCACTGTGGTCTCCTCCAACCTGACCCATTCTGTGATTCTGAGAATTTGGCAGCATAAAATCTCAAGAGAAATACCCAGGTAAGCAGAAGGCTCTGTCTAACATTCAGAAGATTATGTATCTCAAATTAGTTACTACAAAGTCATCCAACATTACCAATTCTTGCACCTGGCTTAGGAAACATTGCAGAAACTCTGACTGAACACCATTTATTTTAGATTGCTCTATAATATTTTATGCTGCAAACGTTCACAAGAAGTGGCAAGGCTGAGTATCCTGCACAGTGACAAAGTAACTGAAAAGACAGTGAGAATGACCTTGTCATGGCCTATTCAGACATTCCCTCCCATCCCAGCTGTGGGCAAACCTCTCTCCCAGAACAACCCAAGAGCAGCAGTGCTGAAGCCACACGTGGCTGTCCCAGCAGTTACTTACACGCTGCTGTCTGTCAGGGACATGGTGTCGGCGTCGCTGGACATGCTCTGCTGCTCGCTGTCGTTGGCACTGGTGGCCGGTGCCAAAGCATAGCCCGTGTTGACATAGTAGGGGTTAACAGGCTCTCTCCATGACCCATGCCTGTGAGAAAAAAATGAGAGTCAAGTTAGAAGGACACAACCTTGACTATGCCCTGCATCACCAGGCAGAAGGACTCTGCCTGGAGCGCCAGCCTCAATGATGGGCTACAGAATAAGCTGTGTTCACACTAAGTTGCACTGACAGAGCCATGAACAATTTGACTCATAACTGGAAGAAAAAAGGAATTCATGGAGTAATTAAGATGACATTGTTAGAGATAAAGGGAGGGAATGAGACTGTATGGAAGAAGTCCTGTTTCCATCAGGGTTTATGGAGTCCATGGGCTAGCTGCTTAGCATTGTCATTCTATGAGAATCTAAAAGCAATACCTAGACAGTAAGACAGCATTTTTCTTAGTCAAAATAGGATTCTGCTCTTCCAACAGGGAGGGATGTGTAGCAGAGCTCACCCATTCTGTACTTACTTTAACATCCCTCCAACACGTTTGCAGAGGGAAGGAGGTGAAGCAAGAAACAGCTGCTGCTCATAGCACTGGACCTAAAAACAACCTCCAGTGTTGCACTGAGGTACATTAGACACTTGCAATTTCCACCAGGAAGGACCACCTAATCACACCTGGCTTTTCCAGTGGACAGTCTGCTCAGGGATCTATGAAGGCATTGTACACAACCCATGCCTTGTTATTCAAGTACACAGGGCAACCTCTTTCTCTTCAGCAAAAGGCCAGGAAGGGAGGCTGCCTGCATGAGCTAACCTGGGAAATGAGTTCCTTGCTCAGGAAGAGACCTGATGGTGAAGCAGCCTGTGAACCAAGCAGGCATGAATTCCTTCATGCTCACTTTGCCACAAGCATAGAAAAGCTACTGCTGCCGGTGTGCCTCCAGCTCTGCCATCCTGCACGACAGACAGGCCAAGCAGGCATCTTGTTCTCCTGCAAGTTATTTTGTAATGTGCCAGAAGAAGGAACAAGCTGAAATGTTCACATAAACAAAAAAGCACTTAATCCCTGCTCTCCCTGCCTGCCCATCTGCATGAAGAGCAGCATTTTTAAGACATCTTGAAACTGATGAATTCCTGGGTTTTCCAAGCTCTGAAAATCAGAGTTCTGTTTCAGTTCAGATCACGAAGTTCATCAGCATCATCCTTTATTTAGCAACTCAGTAATTGGCACCTGGTGGATGTGATCTGCAATGGGCCCTGTGCAAACACCTCCATGGAGGGCACATCATGCAGCGTGTGCTTCACTGTTCTGCCAAGAAAAGTGATTCTGGTTCTACTGTAGTGGTTTAAGTCCTAAAGACAACAGAAAACAGCCCCTGCCCCAATGAGTTTACATTTAGATAAGACAAGGAAACCCATGAGAAACACACAAATGGAGGGACCAGAAGTGAGGAAGACACCAGCAAAGGGTAAAGCTGGCAGTTTGTGTATATCTGTATGGAGTATAAATGCAGGACAGGCTCTGCAGGAACTGGGACTGGCACAGAGCACATCTAAGGCAGAGATTTTTGATGCTGTTACGTAAAATATAGCACATGGTGTACCAGGATGGAAGCATTACCGAAGTATTTTAAAACCTGAACTGGACAGGGTTACAGCCTTCAGCTAATGCACTGCTCACCCAGCTCCTATTCACCTGCTCTTTGGGTCCTCAGCATACAACCTGTTTTCCTTGTAATTCAAGGGGTCATGGATATTCACTGGTCACTAGGAAAAATCACATTGTTTCAGGTCCATTAAGGGGTTGGTTAGAAACAAATTACTCCCCTACTCTCAGAAAGAGAAAACTATTCTGTGTGCCACAAACCAACCAAAACTCCAAACTCTTTCTCCTTGGATGATGAAGCTTAGCATAGTTGCAGAATGGTGCAAAGAGCATTCAAAACTAAGCCAGCTGAGGCTTTTCATGGCTATTTGACAGAAGGGAGCCTTGTGAGGTTTCTCCATGCTCAGGTACAATACAGAGTCAGTTGGGGATGAGCACAGGGATGCCTTGGGATGGTGAGTCACCACAGACACCTTCTAGCATGCAAACTTTCTGTCAGTTGCTGCACATGTGCACTGGAGCAAACTCATTTCTATATTCCATCAGATTTCAGAACAGCTTTCTAGGACAAGTACTGGAAATAATTAGAACAAGTTCACCCTAAAAAGCAAGGAATAATAAGTGAAAACCTTACCAGCCTCCTTCTGCCATTCTCCCTGTGCAGAATGGTCAGTCCTGAACATTAAAGGAGTGCTGTGCAGTGCAACCCTCCTGTCAAATCCAACATGACAGCAGTGTGATGGAGGCTGAGACAACCTCTTAAATTGAGGCAGGAATGATGGATAGCTCAGGCCTTCCCTGAGGGCAAAGACAGGGATGATTTTTGGACAACCCAATTAAAATATAGCACCAACTTCTAGTGGACCTTTCGCCAGGACTCTCTGCAAGAGGCATGGATTATTCTAGCAGGATACTAAGAAAGCACTCAGATATACAGAATAAAATGCACAGGACAATCAATTTCTCCTTTGTATCTGTTGATACAAAGACAGAGCAGCAGAGAGCACCTGAAGAGGTTGCTGGGTGTGCAACTGTGATGGCTGAAGGAACCAAGAGTGAGCAGATGGGTCCTGGGAGGTCCCTGACACCTCTGGAGGAGTTGGAATGGCTGGGCTCTCCCACAACACTCCCCACCTGTGGTCTCCTCACTGAGGATGCAGGTTTGGTCACAACTGTTGTACTTAGCTAAAATTACACACTTAAGCATGTATACAACAGGGATTACTTCCATTTTAGCTCTGCCTCTAATACATCAATGCAAATGTAAACTTTTGGTAAGCGTAAGGAGATGGAAAGGGTATAGGATTTCAAAGCAATCATAACAGGTTACATTACTTTTGAGGAATCCATCTGTATTCAATCCTTCTCCTAATGTTCTCTCTCCCTGACAACTCTCTTCAGCTGGCTCGTATCACTATTTGAATGTTTTGTGCTGTGCCTCTGAAGAACGCTTTCAACATCTATTAGGAGGAAAACATTAAAGGAACATGGAGTCTAACAAAAAAAACTGGTCACTTCTGATCCAGGAGGGGAGGCTGCTTTAAAAGGGATTCAGGCACCCTCAGAGCGATTTGAAATGTCAGCTAAAAACCTCACATACCGAGCTCTATGCACTGATAAGGGCGATAAAAGGAAAGGTGAGCATTTAAAGTTAGACTTCACAAAAATTCCTGCAGCCTTCCAGAATTTTATTTCATTTTTTAAGACAGAAAGAGCAATGAGCATTTTTGAAATGAACGCAGAACATTTCATACATTGCAGAAATAAAGCTGCATGTCTCTTCTGCAGCTCTCAGTTGCTCAACCCTCAAAATAATCACATAGGGAACAATTATAACAGAGATCACAGCGACCTGAGTAAGTCAGCCTGACCAGCTGCCTTTTCTTTGCATAAAGCCCTCTGCTGATCACTGCACATTCTGGTAATGCTGACAAGGGCCTAAACTGCTGTAGAAACACAGCAAGAATTTCCTTAAGGCTTCTTTCTACCTGTTCTGGGTTTATTTCGTGAGTTACCCTGCCTGCATCCCATCCATCCCCAGATTTCTCACTCCTGTGACCAAGCACCCAGCACTTGGGACCTCAGCACCATCAGATCTTGGAGTTTCAATGCAAGCAAGCAGAGAGGTGAGGTCCTCTTTAGTACTCTTGCTCTATGTGGAGTTCTCACTGCATCCTGAGCTCCTAAGGGCATCCTTTTCCTTCCAGCCTGGGAACCCCACTCTCCCTCACACAACTTCCCCCAATGGGTATTTCAATTTTAAATCCAAGATGCAAAGTCCCCAACTTTTGCCAAACATGCTACTCTGCTCTATGCAAAAATCCCGGGGTTGGTATGCTCTGGGGAAGAATTGCACCACCTTCAGCACCCATAGTGGGAGGAAGAGCTCACTGATCCCGCCTCCAAAGCCAAATCTGAGTGGCACTCCCTTTGGTTCTCACCAGTTATGTACCTCCTTCACTGATGTTCTTCATCAAGCATGGGAAAAAAAACCACTAAGGCAAGAAGAAAACTTCCTTGAAGATGAAAAGCCTCTAGGCAACTAATTTCTGTAGAATTTGAATTTCCACTGGAGGGAATAAGTTGCACAACGCTCTACTGGCAGGTCTGAGAGCCATGGTCTTCCCAAGCCTGCTAGCAGTTCCAGCACGGCTGGAACAGCTCCTATTTTAACAGGGAAGATGATCAATCCAAATTTTTCATTGCTACCACCTTCTCCAGCTCCAGCGCTAAATTTTTATGGCACTGACATCTTCTGGAAGAAAATTTTTCCTGAAAAGAATTGAAGCTGTGATAGAATCCAGGCAGGCCTCCTTTTGCAAGGGTGCCCCACCTCCCTGATCCAAAACTCCAAAATCCCTGGTGGCACGGGAAGCTCCTCCAAAGCCTGCACTACCAAGGAAGCAGCTGTTTGAGACACAGTACTAGCAAATCAAAGAGATAAAAACTCATGACAACCATAAAACTCCAATGCATTCTCCCTAAACAGCTCTTGCAGAAGTTTTCCTCCCATGCCATAGTCTGAAGCTTTGGTCACCACAGCTTTGGTGAGCAGCTCATTTTCAACATGGGAGAAATCCCATTTTCCAGATGCCATAACCACCAAACTTCATCAGTCACCATGGAAAGCTCTGAGCTGCAGGAGCTCTGGGGATGTTGGCAAGTCCCCCAGAAGGACACCCCAAAATGGGCTCTGCAGAAACTCCAGATGTCTCACCACAGCCGACGGCAGGTGGAGGAGCTGAGATGCCCTCCCTCCTGCACTGTGGTGAGCAACCTCACAGCAGGACACAATTCCTCCTTTCCTCTTCTGGTGGCTGGTGTTTGGGCTGAAGGATGGTGCCCTGAGACCACAGATCAGGGCTGCAACTCAATAGGACCCAGCTACTCACTCTGTGCTCTCACCCTGCTTTTCCACACCAACTTCTGAAAAATGAGTTCAAACTTTTGTAGTCCTGTGTTTCTGAATATGACTATTTCTAGGAAACCAGCA